TATTAAAGCATTGATTTAATTTTGAGATGTGCTGTTATTTTAGATACAGCGGATGAATATAATTTATTTTTCATATTTTCATCATTTATATTAAATTCGATATTATGATGTAATAACATCATTATAACGCTAGTTATTTTGGCACATATAAATATGTTCTATACTAAAAGATGGTAAGCATGTTTGTAGTAGTCTGTGAGTTATGTTGGAAAGTGTAAAAAATTATTATTATTATTATTATTAGGCTCTCACAGCAGGTGACAAAACATCATTATGACTATAGATTATTTTTAACTTGTGAATTAGATTTTTTTCTGTCCCCATTATTCTCAATAACTCATGAACCAATATCTCATTGTCAATATTTCTCAATATAGTAGTTACTTTCAAAAAAAAAAAAAAAAGGAAGTGTGTTTAATATGCATGTATTCTCATCCTATTCAAACATCAGGCATGATGCTAGAATTACCTAGTAATGAGTGTTTGGCTTTTGGCAGTGTAAATGATTAGCACAGACAAACTATGCCAGTCCAATTTAGATACAGAATGGAATGAAGGGACTTTGGTTGCCATTAACGCTAATGACATTCAGGCAATTATATCCAAACCATGTCTTTCCCAATTAAAACGAAAATACTCAACGAGAGAAGGTTCAAAATGCTTTTATCAGAGCCATTTTACAAATGGCCCAACCATGTCAGTAAATATATTCCTTATTAGACAAATCCATTAGTTTCAGCATGCACAATCTATAAAACTAAAGCTAATGTGTATGTAGCTGGTCTAGGTGCAGAAAAATAAAATTTTGGTTCCACCAACACTGAATGTTGTGCGATTGTACAGTACACTGAGTGTATTATTTAAAATAAAGAAGGCAATACCACAGACTGCAGAGAGAAAAGTAACAAAGAAAATAGATTTTTTGAAAGGAAACAAATAGTACAGAATACCCAGCAAGATGACGGGAACGGAAATCAAAAGAATGGCCATCATGAGGAGAAAATGAAAACATTCACTGAGCACATGAAAACTACAAGCACAATAAAGAAAAACCCTATATCCCTTATCAAAGCACCTCTGTACACCTTGTAGATTCTTCAACCTCACTATCAAAGAGAGGTGAATGTGAGCAAGCAAACAAGTTGCTGCTGTGGAAAGTGCAGTGTTTCAGATGGCACCAAATAAACAAGGAAATACTTGCGATGAGTGTGAGAAATTCCCCTAGCTTATTAGTGAAAATGCTGATCTGGTCCTCACTTTATGTTTTCAATTATACTAGCTATATTGTACTCTACCGTGACTCCTAAAAGCATACTGCTTTTCGTCTTAAAGAGGCTATAGAGTAAAAGCACTGACGATTATAGCCTTGAGCAGTGAGGGAAAAAAGAAAAATGTAGGTTACTTTAATGAAAGATTTCGGTGTAGCCTATTGCTGATAGCTGCTATTGTGGGATGTGTCAACCATTATTTTAGCTTTGAATGATTTTTCCTTCAAGCACTTCCTTTGTTTTAAAGCAATGACTTTCAACTGGTGTGCCGCAAGTCTGTAATGATTGGGTCATGGACATCAGAGGAAAATCTCAATGCAGATAATAAAACGGAAGTATCTAATTGTGTATAGTATTGATCGCAAAAATAAACTGGCTTACCAGTATTTAAAAGGTAGAAAATACTTCCCATATCTTTTGTTGTTAACGTCCAACCTCATGGCCTGTCATAAATTGGCTTATCACCATCATAAATTGGTTTACCAACATATAAAATGCAAAAAATAATTTAGTTGTTGACATCCACGTTATGACGCAGACCTACTATAAATTCATTAATAAGTATATCATTTTAGTGTGTTTTGTACAGTGAATTATTGGCTAGTTAATAATAGATCTTCACTATTATTTAATCTTCTCTATTATTTATCTTGTGAATGAAAATGAGGCTGAGGGGTACAGTGTATTCAATGGATTCTACTGTTGTTTAACAACATACCAATAGGCCCTTTTCACAAGACTGTGATGACGCGTTTAACGGTCATCAGCATCGTAAATCCTCGAAAGTTTTTCATATTTGTATTTAAAAAAAAATTTATGTACATTTATAACACTATTTCTTTGTATTATAACACCTTTGCATCAAATTACAAAAAAACAGTTAACGCTAATGCGAGGGTGTTTCTAATGCAGCGTCTATGGGAGGGACGGTAAATTTGACATCGTTCTCTCTTCTGACAGCCGTTATCAGTCTCTCTCAATTTTTTTCCTTTTATTGAAAATCATGAAAACACTATCGTGGAGTTTTTCTTTTGCTATTTGAGCAAATGGGAATGCAAAAAATATATTTGTGGTACTCTCCCATTCACTGCTATTCAAGTTAACCCAACTATGACGACTTCCGCTGCTGAGAAACCCGGAAATGTGAAAAAGTTCCATTGTTCAGCTGACAAAACATTTTTCCAAAAAAAAAAACTCTATTCGGTGTGTGTAAAACTGTAAGTCTATCCCTCACAGCCTTAAATTCAATAACCTGACTAAAGTATGGCTTGCTTATTACATGGCTTGCTGGAATACTTGATTCTGATTGGTCAATTGACATTTCGCAGGGAGTTTGATTGACAGGCGAACTGACCAATCATAACACCGAATCTTTGTACGACAAACAAACCAGATGGGAGAGTAGATTAACGTCAGTGGTCTTGAACTTGAAAAATGGTGTGGACTGACATCTTTCCGCAGTTGAAACAAGATATCTTCTGATGTTAATTCATGTTTATTTCATGCTATATCTACTAATAAAGAGGAAGAGATGATGGGTTCACGTGCCACAGGGGTCATATGATGTTGCTAAAAAGAACACTATTTTGTGTATTTGGTGTAATGAAATGTGTTTATGCAGTTTAAAGTTCAAAAAACACATTATTTTCCACATACTGTACATTATTGTTTCTCCTCTATGCCCCGCCTTTCTGAAACGCGTCGATTTTTACAAAGCTCATCGGTCTGAAAAGCGAGGTCTGCTGTGATTGGCCAGCTATCCAGTGCGTTATGATTGGCCGAATACCTCAAGCGTGAGACGGAAATGTTACGCCCCTTGCCATATTGTGATGCCTTGTCCCGGCCGGAGAGACGAGACAAAAACATTAAAACCCATCCAGTGGGGACATAATTACGGATTATAATGACTTATACTGTCTTTTTATGCGTTGCGTTGCATCACGCCTCGTAAACATAAAATCATGTCTGCATTTGTGATCGGAAAAATGACAAACAAGCCCTACTCTACACTTCTCAAAATGTGGGGGCGTGTTAGAACGAGTTGTTTTAGGTAGGCGTGGTTGACTCTTAACTTTTATAAAGAATATCTCTTTGGATTTGAGACTTTAGTATTTGCAACTTTACAGATCTTCTTTATGCACCAAGAGCTTGTAACACTTCAAAGAGAAAGGAAAACTTGAAATCGCATCATATGGCCCCTTTAAGCTGAGGCTCTACAGCGATCTGTCACGACACATTAAAGAGTCACATAACGGTATTTATTGTTTAAATTTCTTAAAAAATGACAAAATGTGAAAGCTGAGACTTTGTTTCATACCTAAAGTAAGCTGCTCTGTCTTGTCTTTTGGCGAGTTGTCAGTTTTCTATTAGGAGGACTTACTTCAGTATTAATATTAGGCCTAAAGTTGCAGTTGTTGTTGCAAGGTCAGTTGTTTCATATTGTTTGGACTATTTTGGCAGAACATTTAAGATACATGCAAAATTGTAAAGTAATTCAAATTCAGATCAATATTTCATGTCCACAACACTGTATGTATTTATTTTATGAGTCACATATTAAGACTTATATGTGACCCTGGACCACACAACCAGTCATAAGTCACACGGGTATATTTGTAGCAATAGTCAACAATACATTGTATGGGTCAAAATTATGGATTTTGGTTTAATGGCAAAAATCATAAGGATATTAAGTAAAGATCATGTTCCATGAAGATATTTTGTAAATTTCCTACCGTAAATATATAAAAACTGAATTTTTGCATAAAGGCTTCACTTGGACAACTTTAAAAGCGATTTTCTCAATATTTCGATTTTTTTGCCCCCTCAGATTCCAGATTTTC